AAATAAGAAATTAAGACATTCTCACCTAAAAAAAACCTGAATACAAAGAAAAAAATAAAATACTATCTAAAGCCCCAAAGTATATGAAGATAAAGTTTAGAAAATTGAAGGGATAAATAATCAGTTCTATAATAATAGTTGGACACTTTGGTACACCATTATAAGTAATGAAGAGTATATATCTAGACAGAATATCAATAAGGAAATAGAAGATTTGAACAACATTATTAATCAATTAATTATTGATTAATCTAACAGAAATATATACGAGAGAATACATATTCTTCTCAAGGGTACATGGAACATTCTCCAGTATAGACCATATGTTCATCCATTAAACAAGTTTCAGTAAATTTAAAAAGAGTGAAATAATACATATTATCTTCAATCGCAATGGAATAAAGGTAGAAATCAATAATAGAAAAAAAAATTAAAAATTCACAAATATATGGACAATAAATTAAGCAATATACTTTTAAACAACAAAAGGGTCAAAAAATTACAAAATAGAAAGTACATAGAGATGAATGAAAATGAAAACACATTTTCGTTTTCATTCATGTATGAAATGTCAGGTAAGTATGGCATGAATGAAAACATGCCATACTTACGTGACAGGGGAAACACCATAATCACAAAGATGTTTTTCCCAGGGCGAGGCTTGTCCCTTGCACTACAGATGTGCTGGCCTCTGAGATTTCCCCAAATGTGGGAAACTCGACTGCATAATTTGTAGTAGAGGATCGCATTCACAATCTACCCTGATCAATAAAAACAAACAACAACAACAAAAAAACACAACATGCCAAAGCTTATGGGATGCAGTGAAGGTAGTGCTCAGAAAGAAATTTATAGCTACAATGCCTACATTATAAAAGAAAATTTCAAATCAATAACCTAACTTTGCAATTTGATGATTTTGCAGTTTCTCAATACATTGAGTGCATATTGCCATATTACCTAGAAATTCCATCCTAAACATATATCTCAAAAAAGTGAAAATGAATGCTAAAAAATAAAAACTTGTATATGAATGCTTATAGCACCACTATTCATAACACCCAAAAGGTAAAAACAATCCAAATGAACATCAAGTGCTGAATGGATAATCAAATGTGATATATCAATTCAATGCAGTATTATTCAGCCGTAAAAACGAATGAACTAATTATACGTGCTACAATGTAAATAAGCATCAGAAACAGTGCTAAATTAAAGAAACCGGTCACAAAAAGTCACATATTGTATGATTCAGTTTATATGAAATATCTATGAAATTCCATGTGAGAAAAAAGATGAGTGGTGTTCGGGATCTAGGGAAAGGGGGAAAACAGAGAGACTATTTAATGGGCACAGGGTTTCCTTCTGAAAGGCCGTGGCAATAGTTGCACAACGTTGTGATTATGGTCAATGCCACTAAATTGTACACTCGAAAATAGTTAAAATAACCAATGTCATCATAAAAATAAATAAATAAATAAATTTAAATTAAAAAATAAAAAAAATAAAATAGAATAAAATAGTTAAAATGGTGAATTTTCTGTTATGTAAATTTTATCACAATGAAAAAGACATTTTCACATTAAACAGCATCTTTTACATTTTGTAATTTAATTTTGTGGGATATACTTAATTTTAATGAATCTCTCCAATTCCATGACCTTTCTCTAATTCCAATAATTTTCTCTCTAGTATCATTCACCTTTTTCAGGATCTTTTCTTAAATCTAGGTTTTTTATCTTTAGGAGTTGCATGACTACAGCATAAAAATGTTCAGTTTATCCAGAAACAATGACACCAAGTCAATGTCGTTTTTCTCTAGCTGTGTTGTGATGGCTCCTATCTTTAAAATTTTTACCAAGGCTCAATTTGAGTCTACCTCCTCCAAAAAGAGTTATTCCTTCTTAATGGAATACTTCTTCCAACTGAGTTCTCTATTTACAAAATGGAAATAAATAAAATGTTTGTTTATAAGAAAATCTTTGCATATTTACAGCTAACTATGAGGAATCACATTTTCTATGTTTTGTGACTACCACAGTATGATTTGCCTGCATTCTGCTAACCTTTACAAACTTTTGAAAGGACACATGAAAGATTTTTAATAGGATTAATTCAACTTGGAAGCTTTTAAAGGATCTTCACAAATTCCATTTTCTCTTCATAAGACCGTGCTCCAACTCCTATCTCAGAACACACCAATTAAATAAAGCAAAAATCACATACTATCATCACCAGAGGAAAAAAGCCAGAGGCAACTCTTAAAGTGTTTTTGCCTTTTGTGGTAGAAATATGCTATTTTGTCTATATAGGACTCAACCCAACTTCTGAGGGTGACATCCTAATTTCCTTCACTTAACAACCATTCACCTCTTCTCTGTCCTTGAGACAAGAAGTATCAGCCTGATGTCAACCACAGGAATAGATACATGACAGAGGCCGAAGAACATAGCACAAAGATGTGGCTCCAATATCTCATCTGGATTCTAAAATTTTGGAGATAGAATAGAGAGGCATAGCCAACGAAGAGAGGAGGAGCCTTGGGATTTCTTAGAGGTTATAAGAAACTGTTAGATATGCTGAAAGCAATGACTCTTTTCAATGCTATGCTAAATGAATTTAACATGATCTACTATGGCTTCAATATTAGATAACATATAAATAAAATTTTGCAAATATACTGACAAAGTTTATATCCAAAATAATACATATAATGAAAGATTTTATAGTATTTTCTTGGCATCTCATTTATAACATGTAAGTCTATCTTAGAATGATTTTGTCACATTTGGCTTTCAAACTCATTCTCGGGAAAGCATTATTTATGAAAAATGAGAAGTTTCTGTTTCTCTGTTGAATTGCATATTATTTGAAAGCTGCTTTTTTTTGTTCACATGTCACATAACTTAAAGGGGGTCATCTAAGCAGAAGAATATGTGTGTATGCATATGTATATCTATGCATATAGATATATATACATATATACATATGGAAGTATTTGTGTATATATTATATATACATATATAATGTGTATATATATATGTATGTGTGTGTGTGTGTGTGTGTGTGTGTGTGTTTGTGTGCTAGTTAAATGTCAAGGATGAAAGTAGAGTTTGATAAATTGTATGTTTCTGCTACATGGTACAGTCTAATTCCATGGATTTTAATAAGAAAACTGCTATGCTTAAAACTCTGGAATCCAAGCTCTAGAGAACATCAAAATTAATAAGATACATAGTTTTTTTCTTTAAGAAACATAGAATCAGAGGATAGCATGGAAGTTTAGGTAAGGGTGATAGCATTTGAGCTGGATATTGAGAGAAGCTAGTATTTTACCACAATCCAGGTAAAGGAAAAAATATAACTAAAGGCCTCAAAGCAAAAAAGTTTATACTAGTGGCAAGAATTCATTCCCAGAGAGGAAAGTTAAAGTCAGCAATGTTTAAATGGGCTAGAATTCTGAGGTCTTGAGGAATTTAGTAGAGAAAAACTCCAAAGTCATTGCAAAGTAAGAGCTCTAGAAATATGGAAACCAAAGTTTGAAATTGCTTCTGATATCTCATGTTTTGTATTTAAGCTGCAATGACTTTGGGGCATATGTTCATTATCACCAGGGATATAAAAGTTTGGAGAGTTAAAGCAAAAGTCATTTTCTGCCTCAGGGATGTTTAGGTCTATACTCAGATTGGTTAATTTAAGTGCTTAACTTTTACTGGTTCACTTAGTAGAAGTTGCTGTTTAAAAAAAAAAAAAAAAAAAAACACTGAATCTCAATTATTATATGACCTTTTGGAGATTTAAAAGACAGTCTTGTCACTGGGTTCAAAAGCATCCCTTGCCCTTTTACGAAACTTTTTCTTCACAAGAGGAAAGGTTTCCCTCTCTTTATTCACAGTTGTGTGTTCTCTAATAAGTGTGCCTTTTCCTTTAGGGCTGACCTGCTTTTACTTCAGTGCATGTTGTTTTCAAAGAGCTATTTGATGTACAAGAAACTTTTTGCTTAAAAAATAAAAAAAAAAAGAAACTTACAAAATAGTCATGGGGATGTAGAGTATAGCATGGGGAATATAGTCAGTAGTATTGCCATAACGATGTAGGGTGTCAGATTAGTACTAGATTTATTGAGGTGATCACTTTCTAAGTTATATAAATGTCTAATCACTGCATTGTACACTTGAAAATAATATAATATTATATGTAAGCTATAATTGAAAAAATAAAAATGCAAGAATTAAAAAAAATTAAAAAATTAAAAAGGAAGCTAGAAGAATGAAATAGAAAGAGATGGAGGGAAAAAAATAATTGTTTTGTCATGTTTGTTTTTGTATTTGGGGGTGGGGGAGAGATAAATATGAATGAAAAATTGTGCACTCACAATGCTATTCTTCCATTTGCACTAAAAATGGTCTAATTGCTGATTAAATTGCAAACTTTAGTTATGTATTAATTCAGACTTCCTTAATTCTGTGCCTCGCTTTGACCAAACCAAGAAGACATAAACAGACAAATCCCCCAAAAAATGCTTCTTCCTTTGTAAATGAAACAAAAGAGTTAGAGATATTATTTTCTTATTTACTTATAGAATTTAAACTCTTTCATATGACCTTTGACAATTTCCAAGTATGTACACACCCTGCCCAAATACAGTTCTTCTATCTTGTTCTCTCAATCTCAGCAACCTTGTTTCATAAGATCTCTGGTCCAGCAGAATTGATATATTTATTGTTGTATATGCATGACTTGCCTTTGGTCTTATCATTGCTATTGTATTAACCATACTCAACTTCAAAAATATTCTCTTCATTTCTTTTTATCCATCCACCTAATTCATCTACTCAAGACCTATCTTGTCTAGGAAACCTTCCTTATTTTACTTTATCTCTACAAACTAACTTTATTTTCCTCCCTAATAGAATTTATGAACTCCAGATTTCATATTTTATATACTATAAAGCATATTAAGTATTTTTAATTTTTATTATATATTTTTTCTATTTTTTTAATTATCTAAATTCTTTAAAAGCAGAAACAATATTGTATTCCTCTCTAATTCCCCTTTTCCTAGAGCTTGTTTTTAACTTGTTATTTTATATTGGAGTCTTTCCATTCTATTAACAGGAGAGAAACTGGCTGATATACTTTTTAAAAGACTTAATATCAACCAGACATAATACACAGACACAAATACACACAAACCATTGAGCCTGTACCAAGTCCCTATTTCCTATGTACTTTCAAACTCTTCACTCACTACATGAGTTTCTACACTGTTACTTGCAAAATTATAATCAGAGTTCACTTATATAGAAATTTATATCACCTACTATAGATGAAAAATAAATCACTCCTCCCACTACTCTCCTTCTTGCTGATCAATCACTATATTTGTGTCAATAAAATTAGAGGCAGCCTCAAAATTATTCTCAATATAGTAAAATAAATTACAGACAGACACTAAAAACAAACTGAAACTGACTTGAAAAAATAAAACCTATTTTTAATTTCTGCAAAACTGCTGACTTTCTGAGGGCAAACACCCTGTGTATTTTATTCACTGTATCAGCATGGATTTTATTTGGCTTTATATAAGAGGAACCAATAGAGATACTTAAGCAAAGAGAAGCTTGTTTTCTCAGTCAACAAAAAATTTGGAAATAAGTAGTCCAGACATAGCCCAGATACTCAAGAAAGTAATGAAGGACCAGATTCCTTCCATTGATCTGCAAAGCTATCTTTGCCTTTTATCCTTATGTTCTCAATTTGG